GCAATTAACGTGACAGATGCAGCACTGCATTAAAACTAGGTCCTTTGACTATTTGAAATTCCCAACAAAAAAACTTAGAGCTTCCTTTTTGGGGGGGTCGAACTTCTAGCTCCTACTTGCTATTACACTTCCGTCCGTTTCAATAGATATTAGTAAACTTTTAATTTCCCAAAATACAGAGTTCCAGCTGTTCGACGAACTACTCTTTCTTTAATCGAGTTGTCACCTTTATATTTCTCAGCCAACACTTGTACCGTAGACTTTCGTCAAGTTTTTCGAGATGGGTATTTCAGCCAATAAGACTGTTTGGTGACAGTTTTTCATGGAAAAGCTGGTCTTTTCCACGCTAAAATTCTCCATGGAAAAAAATAATGGGTATAAAAACAAAGAATATGTGTCAATTTTCAATAAAACTAGTCTTTACTAAATGTAAATAAACGCACCGTTTGGTGCCGGGCCATCTTAGATTTTGCCCAAACCCAATTTTCCGGAGTAATTTTTTGTTTGTGAGTGTCACTGTATTTTGATGTCATTATGAAATGCAGCATAGAACAATTCGCGTTTTTACACCGAATCTGGCAGATATGAAAAGGTCCTTTAAATTTGCTCTGCAAGTGTTTCTGGGAAAATCTAGTAGTAACACAAATAAAATTTAGTTAATTAACTTAGCTAAATTTTACCAGAGAGTTGCCAGCATTTATTTACCGAGGAAAACTTACCGTGGTTATAGGCAGTTGATTATGCCGGACAGAATACGGACGGCGCAGACCTGGTTGACTCGAGAGACACTGATACAATTGATCAAGAAACTCACACAGACTGGTTCACTTGATGATAAAAGAAGCTCAGGAAAGCCGTAAATCGAGGGAACAAATCACAATAGTATCACTGCGGTCTGGAGCAGTTAAGCTGCCAATCCAATGGCCTCGACGCAATGTCGCTATGAACAATTTGACCGATCGACGATCGCTCTGCCATTTATTTTGAAGCGAGCGTTGTATCTTCATTCCCACAATATATAGTTGCACGTACGAGATGAGAGATTTGCTTCTTTATTAAACGACACCTGCCGCATTGTATAGCGCCCCTTTCTATGCTGTTCAAGTCGACCGCCATGACATACACACTCCTATATATATAATGCTGTATGGGGCAGCTAAGTGTTTTTGCGATTTCATAGAGGTTTTTCTGAACGATAAACAATGGATCAAGATAGCCGCGTTGTTCTTCCACAACAGTGCCGCCCATCTAAAACTTACATTTTTAAAATCAAACTGAAGACAAGTTGTTTGGATAAATATCGTGGACATATGTACGGCTTCGCTGAAAATCACGATCATAGATCAAAACGTACCATAGATAATTATTTGCATCGGAATCATACATAACCAGTATAGTTATACTGAGTTCAGTCCGGTCAATTTGGCTTTGAGAAACGGTAAGCCCACTGGTGTTCTTTACTTGTCAAAGAAAATGCGATTTCAGTCCCTAAACCGAGAACCTGTACAAGAGAACTTCATCTAGATTTACGGTAGAGGATGCCCGTCTAAGTTGACAGCACGATCAGGCAGTATCAACTTCTCCCCCTAGAATCGTAGGTCTTTCTGATAAAAGCAGCGTTTTCCCTTGGATTTTCTTGAACGACGGGCTTTTTCGCACTAAATCATTAGTGCCGTATATAGCTCCACCTCTGATCCAAATAAGTCCACAAGCTGGGGTTATCGGATTTCAACAACATGGGTGTCTTCGATCAATATTTACTCAAATATAAATTAACTCTAATGAATTCGTTTCGACAACATAATAGAAGAATCTATGACGAATATACTGGATGCTTTGCCCTTGGTATCGGTTTTTCCACGGATAGCGTTAAGTACATTTCAGCCCCTCGAGTTGAATCTACCCCTCTATAGAGAAATGCGGCCAGAGTTCTACGTACGCTTCACTTCATACATACGAGTGTGTCTGTACGTACATGTTGGATGCCGTGCTCTATAGGCAACGTCTCGTTGTTGTTGTGGTGTGTTCATTGGCGCGCTCGAAAAATTGGCGCGCTTCTTCTCCACTCTACGATGAACGTCAATGCTGCTAATAGTTGGGTACCTACTGTCAGCTTGTTGTAACGGCTCGCTCGTGCTACTACTGCCTGTCCGTCTTCGTGTTGCTTATATATGAGATACTCGCTCAATGCAAGTCCAATGTTATTCTACCGAGGGAGTCTGCTGGCTGGCTGACGGATCCGATAGCTTACGGGTGACTGTCAACCAGCTACCTGGCCAGCCATTGCCGCCGCTGCTGCTGCTGTACTGAACATATAAGCAACAATAATCGCAGCAGTTCTATGGGCTGTTTGCTGCCAGGCAAGCTACTCATCAGCACACATCGATTGATTTAGCGAGCATGGAGCATCAACAGTAGTGCTGCTGCGCTATGCTGGTAGTGGAGACGGAGAGGAATCCATAGACGCCAGCCAGCCAGCCAGCCAGTATATAGAAACAGCAAAAGTCAAGGCGCCCGGTCAACAGACAGACAAACAGACCAATGAGAGGCAGCCGTAATGATAGCGGCGGCAGGCACAACTCTCAAGAATCTCATCGCCTTTATAGCATCATCCTATCCAATACATTCCCTATGACTACTAATACCACCAGTGCTTGTCGCTATCGCTATAGAGCGACAGGCAGGCAGGCAGGCAGGCAAGCAAGCAAGCAAGCCAGCCAGCCAGGCAGGCAGACGCAGCGACTATTATTATTATTATAGCATTGGCTAACGCAGGCAGCGAAGCAAAGAATATATTGCCACAGCAGCAGCACCAAGCCAAGCTGCTGTCGGCTTCACTCTATGTTCGTAGCAGTCGCAGCAGCAGCAGCAGCAACGACGACGACAGCAGTCATGTGAATACACAGATACAAGCCGAACCAGGCAGGCAAGTTTCGACTGTCTATGTGGTGTACGGCAGCGGTGTTCCTATGGGGAAAGCTGCGCCGCTGGCTGTCGCCGTGCTATGGCTATGGGCCCATCCAGGCACAGCGGCGGCAGCAGCAGCAACAACAACAGCAGCAGCAGCAGCATGAACAGCAGTGAAAAAGACAGCCAACCCTCTAGCTAACCAGGCATAGGCCCATCGTTATGCGGCGACTGCTGCTTTTGTGTCAGTCGTATTGAGCAGTATTAGTGTTATATTGCTACGACTTGGCTGGCTGTAATGCCCGGCCGCCGCCACCGCCGCCGCCGCTGCTGCTGCTGCTGCTGCGGCTTGTGGCTATGGCCGCTAGCTAGCTAGCTGGCTAGCCAGCAAGCCAGCATAGGCAACACAGACAGCGGCTGCTGCTGCTGTAGTAGCAGTGGTGGTGCTGGCTGGCTAGGTGGCTGGCTAGGCTTAGCTTAGCCGCCCTCCGCTGGCGCCAATGGCAGACAACGGCTCCCTTCGAGTTGCTCGCTCATTGGCTGATAGTTGGCGCGCGGTTCAAATTGCGCCAATCAGCTCTCCCCCGTAGGGCTACATGCTTTGAGCGGCAGCTCGGCCGCCATTCGCTGTGGCTGGACACTTTGAAACGGTCGTTTTTCGCCGACGCTCGTTCATTTTCGCCCCCGACGCCTCCAACAAGCTGTAAGTAATGTACTTTTGCCATTTATTTAGCCCCAATAACAAATTACGACGATCGAGTTTAGTTCCGGTGCGTTTTTCCGTACAATGTAATCCCTATGGGGCTTACTGCTGTGCTGTTGGGCTCCTTGGCGGTCCCTGTGTGTTGTAGCATAGAGTTACTATGAATGCCTGCCTGCCATAGCGTCCCATGGGCACTTGCTTAGCTATGGTAATACTAAGGCAGCGTAGCCGGCCGCTCCGCTAGGCCGTCTACCACTGTGGATACGAGCGGGCTTTCGGGACCTGTCGTGCCGACGTCGTGTGCAGGCCCCCAGCGGCCCTCAGTGGCTAATCACCGTCACTCGCTAGGCCTATTTGGTGACGACGCAGCCATTCGGGCCAGTTGGCGTCGTCCACTCATTCTCCGCTGTGTATCGCTATGGAGGCCTATGGGCATGCCGCCACACGACTGCCTTGTTTGCCTGACTGCTCTAACGCCACTATGGACTGGCTATGGGCGTCTATGGCAATAGGGTGGTGCGTGAGGCAGCCGGCATACGCTCGGAACTCTGGCGGTAGGCGTCGGCCTGTGCCGCCGGTACGGGCAGATGGTCACCAACTTCTAGTGATGCCGTGTGACCAGTGGGCGCTTGGGGGGCGGCCGCCCAACGATGTCCGCCGCCCTCATAGTTTCGTCCATAGAATAACATTGTAGGTCGCTTCGGTACTCGATGTTGGACTCCGAACGGGGCACAGACTTGAGTTCGGTTGGGTTTCATCTGAGAGTTTAGTCGTTCCCGATGGCGTCCGCAGTGACCTTCGGCCCAGTGGCGGCGACGCGAAGTCGCCAGAGTCCGTCGGCTTCGGCCGCCATAGAGACCCATGTTGCGGCTTGGCGGGCTCGCGCTCAACGTGGGTTTCTATGGCCAAGCACCGCCAATGGGACTGACCGTAGACTATTACCAGTGCTAACCGGGGTTAGTAAGAGGCATGCTCAGCGAGGACACTTGGTCGGCTCCATCGAGGGAAGAAGTGAAGGTTTCTTGGGGTTGTTGGTAAAGACCCGTCGCGAGGTGTTTTTGCTGGCTGAGGGTTGCTGCCTTGCAACGACCGTTGGGCCTAGCTCCTGCGTCTCTAGCCCTTGTTGAACCTTGGTACGACGATCTGCTGCTTGGTATGCCCAGATGCATAACAATCCTCTACGTGTATATTGCTCATATATAAGCCGCTGGATAACGTCATAGTCAGCGTTATGGCAATTGTAGCTCGATCATATTGACTGTCATATGTATATGCTAATATGTAGTGACTTGTTAGATGATGCTATTTTGAGATAAGCTCGTATGTCGGTTAATCAGAGGGCTTTAGGAAAGGTACCTGGTCCGAAATTGATATATGTACTCTGGAACAAATACAATGTACACGTAGTTATATTACGTAGTCCTTCAATACTAGCTATTTTGGAACTTGTACATCACAACTGTTTGTTGTCATTTGGTTTCTTTTGAGATACATAGCATAGTTCTCAAGTGTATTTGGCAAATTGTGTTTTTAACCTCAACTATAGACGCACGCCTAAGGATGACAATACGGTTTCAGCCCTATATGCAGGCAGACGTATATAGACGTCCACTAATACTGCAAACCTTTAAGTAAAATTTATTTTTTGCATGATTTTGAATTTAATTTAACGATGAATAGATCTGATCTATAATAAGCGTTCATTTCATATGGAAAGTTTTTATGCATGCGATGCGATTTAGGTACGTTTACATGTATTAATATTACACATGTATATATAAAATCTCTTCAACGCATTCCGCCTAGCTCTTTGCTATCGCAAAGGCCATAAAGAATTAGCATGTACATTGTTTTTTATATTGCCATGACGTTTTTCTTTGTTTCCTTTGCTGGGTCTCGCACGTACTTTGTTGGCAATATGAAGTTTGGATTTTATAGTTATTCATTGTTTAAACTTTCGTTGCAGAACGATATGGCTAAGGGAGATAAGCCTCGTGGACGTATGTCCGCTTACGCCTACTTTGTGCAAACGTGCCGCGAAGAGCATAAGAAGAAGCACCCAAATGAAAACGTCGTTTTCTCTGAGTTTTCTAAAAAGTGCGCCGAACGCTGGAAGACGATGAGCGAGCCTGAGAAGAAGCGTTTCCACCAGATGGCCGAGAAGGACAAGAAGCGCTGGGAAGCCGAGATGTCGACCTACGTGCCCGCCGATGGAGGCCGTGGCAAGGGTGGCCGCAAAAAGAAGGACCCCAACGCACCGAAACGCGCCCTCTCGGCCTTCTTTCACTTCTGTAACGACGAGAGACCCAAGGTCAAGGCTGAGCTCGGTGAGGCAACCGTCGGTGAAATCGCTAAGGAGCTTGGACGCAGGTGGCAAGCCTGCACCGAGCAGGATAAGGCTCGTTTTGAGGCAATGGCGGCCAAGGACAAACAACGCTATGAGCGTGAGATGGCGATCTACAAGCGCGGTGGAACCGTCCCACAACATGGAAATATGGGACATCACGAAATGGAAGATGATGATGACGAAGATGACGATGAGTGCGACGAGTAAACGTACGAAGCTACTGACACCCTCTCCCCTCCCCCCGGCTCCTGTACGGCCTGCCCTATCCTGCGTCTTGCTTGAAAACGTCACTGTACGATAAAGATTGGTCGGTCGATCGCATGTCATCGTGATTCCCAGTTTGTTAGAGTTGGAACTCATTCGTGGCCTATCGCAATCAACTAGTGCATGAGGCTACGTTCCGAGGCCATGTTAGAGGAGAAGTTTAACGACACGCAATTCTTAGTGTGGTCTGGAACTGCTGTTTCGTCTGGTTTAGCGGCGCAAATGGTGGTGGCGGCGGTACCGTCGGGCATTTTCTCCTCTGAAGCTTCCTTTTCTATCCCCTCAACAGAAACACCCCAAACCCCCCACCTCCCCTTGTATATCTCAATTGCCCGTCAGTCAGCAATCTTGTAGACGCAGAACAGGATGACGATGAAGAAGCATAAGAAGCGGAGTAGGTAAAAGAAGACGGGAATATAAAATGAAGATGACTGAAGTTGTGTAGAAGAGAGTCGAGGAGCAGGGCCCTTATAATTGTGCGCCCTATCTGTAGAACTTTGACGTGGAAGGAAGAAATCGCATTGCAGAACAACCGTATCTCACTGTCAGCTGATTTATCAGCAGTAAGTCCCTGCTGTTAATTGGTTAATTGATCACATTGGCTAGGAGACAATTGGTCCCATGAAGGTACGACGTGACAGAACCCGATCACGCGTCGACCTTTCTCCGATGTCTGTGCGACTTGAGGGGCGGTTGTTCTATTTGTTTAGAATTCGTTAGCATCGGTACATAAATATATATAAATATATATATATATATATATATATATAGCGAGAGAGAAACAGGAGGAATTGGGAGGCAGTGAAGTGGACAACCGAGAAACACACGGCACCCCCTTGAAGGAGTTGATTTCATTAATGATGGCCAAAATGATGGTGGTTCGGTGCATTTATTTAAAGCATCAGCCCTTTTTTTCCCATCATCAAAGCATGCCATAATTCTTCCCACTTTGAGTCCATGACTCCTCCACTCAAAGTCCGAAAATGCTATTCGATTATCTCAAAGCCCTCTTTGTCACGTCTTAACAAATTTCTTGCACAACAATTATACCAATATCCAGGCTACTAGACGCACCCGTGAGTATGTCTAGGTGCATGTATGTCTGCTAGATCAACAAAGCACGAGCGATTGGGTCCTGCAGACATCTCACAATATTTATGTATGTATTTAGTAAAGAGGAGAAAAGAAAAACTGAAGGGGTTGCCGTGCACCGAGGGTGAATTATGATAAAAAAGAATGATGATGATGATGATGACGGTGCGCGGATTAAATAGTAACAGTACAGAAAAACAGACGACGACGATAATGATGGTGATGATGACTATAATAATAATAACAATGCTGATGATGATAATGAAAAGAAGCATACGCATAGAGCAGACGATGATGTAGCAGGACGAGAAGGAAGAGAGAAGAGTAAAGTCGTAAGCAGTACTCCCATTGAATCATTTCATATTACATTCATTCATTCAATCATTCATGCTTCATCATTATGTAAATTTTGCGCGCTCATCCGAGGCCGCAGGGCAAGACGGGTAGGGAATGTTTTCTCCCATTTGGGTATGGTGACAATATAATATTACTATTACTGCTGCTATTAATAGAAAGCATACCAATTAAACAATATGGACATAGGAACGGAGTGTGGAAAACAACTAATGTATTCATTTATTCAATTGTTTGTCAGTGCGCGTACTCTGCTAGAAAATATTGTCGATTTGTCGTGAACTATAGAGGACCGTCAATGCAGAATAATTGGAAATGACCAATCAATTCAATGTGGAAGTGTGAACATGTAATTTCGCCTCGAGACGTTAAATGCGTAAGCGTAACGGCTCGATCTTAAATCCGTCAAAGAAAGAACACGAGGAAAAGTGCGACAGCATAGTGAACAGTAGACAATGTGGAGTAACTTGTACTGCTGTCGCTTAGATATGGTTATTATTATTATTATTATTATTATTATTATTATTATTATTATTATTATTATTATTATTATTATTATTATTATTATTATTATGTCAACATAAATGTCAAAAAACCAACACGGAAATAAAAACAGTACATAACGCAAGTCAGTAACTTGAGCTAATAAAGAAATGAAAAAACAATGCCTGCGGACCGGATTTGTACACAGATACTCATGTATAAAGCAGGAAATAAAACTTAACCTAAAAGAAGTTTGTTTTTAGTTGACAGTTAAAAAGTTACTGGCTCTAGGCGACAGAGCAGGGACTTATGTTATCGTTGCTACTAGCTAGCAGAATATTATTTACGAAAAACAGTCGTGAAGGTACAGCGAGAATGTTTTGGCCCGTTTTACTTAATAGAGGCTTTTTTGTGATAGTTCTGTATTAATAACCTTAAACAAATGTATGTTCAAAATAACGGGATGTTATTCATGGGTATAACCATATTTTAGCATTCTGTTGTTGGTTCATTAGTGTTTGCCCGTAGAGAAGAATTAAAGAACTGTAATATTGTGAAAGTTCAGGCGTTGCCGTTTCGCTCACTGCAGTGGCACAGGCTTTACGAGATATTTGCTATTTCTGAAAATAATAATCCAAATGATGAGTTCGTTTTTTAAAGGTGTAACATGCCTCTGACACAGGTCGTATAAACCTTGGATAATCTTTTTGGGAAATAGAAGCTAATCAGATGCTATTTGGTATTCTGGTATTTTTTTTTGCTTTTTTGTTTATCTTGATAGATTGAAGAATTCGAAGGCGAAAACTGCTTCCAATATGAGGCCAGATTCACGCCAAGTGTTAAAGAATAATTCCAAAATCAGTAGGCATTACTTGAAAAATTCTTTTCCAAATTTATGATTTGCTAATATGCGTTCTAGCTATCTCTTGTCTGTGATTTTCTTCGCCTCCCCTAAAGATTTACCGAAGGCCGTTATCATTGTTCCTATAGCCTCATAGGGCACTGTAAAAGCGCCGTTCTCAAGGGCAACCTAAGCACCTTTGTTTCGACTGTAAGTAAAACAAGTAAAATCAACCGAATACCATAAGCGGTCTGTCAATTCGGGGCAGGGCTAAATTGTGCCAATCGGAGAGGAGATAAAAAGTCTAGCTGCATAGGAAGTTTAAGCTATCGACGGGTGTTAGAGGTCTCGTCTTAAGCTTCCGAAAAAATTATGTCTCAGCAATGACAAAACAATGATCAATTGTTTTGAACGAATTTTCGAGGTACTTTTCTATTTGGAACAAACCTAAGTTGGCTCTGTTTGCCCTTACTTGACGTCTTCGATAAAGAATAATAACTAAAACATGTGTTCTACCTTTAAACCTATCTTCCTATGTGGGAGCTGGGAGCGTGAGATTGTGGTGATTACTAAGTGTGAAGACATTCAAGAGTAAATAGTTTTTCAGGCTTTCCTGAAACAGTTTATTATTCAGTGGTGTCATGCAATTAACAGTTAGAACATGGAATAATTTATACATCATCAACTTTGAAAAAAAATCAACAACTCTAGCTGATGCCTTACATAAACAATAGTTTTCCTACAAACTTATGCCCGTCGCGTGTTCGGTATATGTACTGTAGCCATATCTTTGTATAAATATATAATAATTTCCCTGCAAGCTCATATAAAAATTTAAAGACTTACTGCGAAATGTGAAGCAAAAAATCCTGCAAAAAAGTATAAAGGTACTAAAGGCATTGCTTTTTGGCATAATTGTTAGCATTCTATCTTATCAGTAGTGCAAACATCCATTCTCGTCATTTGATATAATTTAATTGAAGACTTTGTAATCCCTTGAAAATATTTTCGTATTTTTTTGGGACTTTGGCTAATAATGTCGGCGGCAGTGACATTGACATGAATTCAGATTAAGCTCTAACGTTCTGTACGTTTGATATTAAATGTAAGTGCATTTTGCGAGAATTTGTAATGATGAATAGAACGCAACTCTGCATTTATATCTACAACATTGAAATCAATGAAAATATTATATGTTGTTTGGCTAGTGCTTCACCTCACGTTACATAACGTCTTGAATTTCACATATGCGATCAAATATAGAAAAAAATTGTATAATTCGTTTCATAACGTACATTTTCATCACGTGGACCAGAATCTATTTTTGGTGTTCAAGGATACGAGAGAAAACGTAAGGTGTGTTTTTCGAAAAAACTTTTATACCGAAATGTGTGGAACTATAGAGAAATTTATGCAGTGCGGACAATGAAAAACGCCTTTCGAGGTGGTTTCAAAAAGATCGGAGTCATATGGAAAATGCCCTTTACTCAAAGTGGTTATATCTTGCGACGTTTTTCGGCTCTGAATAGTGTAGTGAAGTTCGGTATTAGAGAAAGTTTCCATGCAATATAAGAAGGCAACTGTTGTAGTAGAATGAGAACAAAGCATAAAAGAGCCTCAATAGAGTGCTTTCAGTCGTCTATTAAAAAAAAAAAAAGCGTTTCAGACTCGTACGTGTATATGATCTCTTAAAATTTAGCTTGAAAAGACTTGGCTACGATTACGAAGTTAGGCTCTGGAAACAAATGAAAAATCCGTACTTATCACTTTAGCCCTATCACCGGAAAGCGGTGAATGAGAGCTATAGGTGTGCTAGCAACGTTTTTTTAATTTTCCCTTCTCGCAACTCTTATTTTCATTGGACCACCGATGGATCTTCGCATCTTGAAAAAACGAGTACAAACACTGAGCGTGTGAAGGTGCGCACGATACTCCTCTTTCGATATTTTGTGCTGAGGTTAGGAAGCTGAAGAAGCTGATTCTACATAAGAGTCCATGAGGAGTTCTGCTGTAGCCAACCTGCTAGCATTTCTCTGATGAGCTAAACGCATTGCGTATAAATTGATTCAGATTCAATGGTACACTCGACTTTGTTTCTCAGCTTTCTTGAGGCGGTCCAGGTTCGAGGTCAGGTGTGCACACATTTTGCACTGTGCTGGAAAACAGCCATATGACGCAAAGAATTTGGAAAAATGAGCGAAGGCCATTGATTTTGCATGTTGCCCTTATCCCTTTATTCATAATTATTCGGCGGGATTTAATGGCTGATGTGGTTTTCATTGATCGTGGTAATAGTGTAGTCGGGCATCTTTTAATAGTAATTATCATGAAAATTTATTTTTAAAATTATTTAAATTTAATCCTACACGTCAGCTGCAATAGTCGATTATTCCCAAAGCTTCGCTTCAAGTAGCCGGTTGTAGGGGGGATGGCATGTTAAACTCAACATTTAGTGGGGATTTTTTTTATGTCAGACTCATTATGATTTTCGCTGGGATTTGATGAAATCCACATTTTTATTTTATCTCACGCTATTGACCGGTAACTATCGCTCGAATAATTCTGATACTGCATGCATGGGCTTATTTTCTCATGAAGTGCTTATTTATATGACAGGTTGTTCCATAAAATTTGATAAATTTTCGATGATGGTCGATTAAGACTGTAGAAAGCCACAAAAGATAATCGTCACGTCAGAGAACTTGAACACAATCCGCAGTGCAGCACGGATTTTTCAGTTCTTCAATTACCTATTCATGAACGAAGTATATGTATTATGGATTGGGTGAAATGTTTTACTAGCATTCAGGGGGTGAATAGCATGGATATCAACTTCTATAATGTGCTTCCGAAGGATTTCTGGCCGAAAGTCGTTAAATTAATAAGAAAAGCGTCGCGTTACAAGCGCGAAACCTATGGGACTTGAACGTGTGGTACCGGTCACGATACCTAAACTGCAAACACTGTTTGAAGCATAAAATGGCCAGTATATTGCAGATGTTTGTGGACGCTTTCCCCTACTGAGGTTGATCTTGACTGGCTGGAATTGAATAACGGCTTAAGCAGGTTGCTCAACGTTGTGCTAGATAACTAAACGTTTGGTGGTTAAAAAGTTATCTTTTGTGTATTATATTTTTATATCTATTAGAACGAGACCGATCCATAAGTGTTTATTAAAACTAAAAATTTAAAATGGCGATAGCCCCTCAAAATTCTAGATAACTTTGATTGATATTTTCTGAGCTAAATCTTCCCTTTTTTTGTCGTCGAACAAACGCATGCAAACTTACGAATCTTCAGAGTAATAAATGAAAATAGATGAAGGTCCATTGCTTTTTAACGCCCTGCAAATATACTAGCCAATTGAATACCCATACAGTTCAACCATTTGAAACACAGTTAAGCTTGGTCTCTTTTCATAATCAAGAACTTAAAAGTTAAATACTGCTTTGTGAGTGCAATATGTTCAACGGTTAAGTTAATTTTGCAAAAGTTAGTTTTGATTATTCCATCTGCTTTTGCTCAAGGGACGACCACATTGTTCAGTACGGAATACACATCCTTCGAAATATTCGTCCCGCAAGCCGTCACGAGCGTAAATTCTATCAAAAACACATTCCATGTTTAAGAAACTTGGAATCGAGAATTCGAGCTCGAGACACTGTTAAATGTCTTGCTTCGAATTCACAGACAGTTAATTGACAAATGTTTTTTTTCAAGCGATTCAAATGTTACGACGACTAATGTTTAGTATTTTAGTCTTTTAATATGCAATAAGTAGTGCCTCTTTAAATTCTGTCATGAGACAAACAGAAATCGATGTATTGAAATCTGTTGTCAAATATGTATGTATGATAATTATCGAGTCATGGGCATAGCTTCGCAGACGGTTAGATAAATAAGAAAAAATACAATTTACGTCAAACAAAGTGGTAGTGATGAATGTTTGTACTGGTCATGCATTGTGCTGTTGAATCCAAGTACACAGTTTTCTATGTTCAAAACTGTGATATTACAAAGAGAAATGCAAAGTCTCATTCAAAGCTGTAACATATTAGAGTACAATGCTTTTGGCGATCGATCCGAAGGGAAAATGGCAAAATGTTACTTAGTTTTCAATCTTTTTATTTGTAGCGAAGCTTTAATAAAGCTTAAATTATGTCCAGATAATATTCTTGAAATGTTCGTTATAAGTTTATAGTAGAAGTAGGTACTACTATTGCACGGAAGTCGCCATGAAAACGGCACAATGGACACTAACATATCTTTTTTTTTATTAAGGGTTATTAAACACATCATAGATTAGACACTTAATTAATTAATGAACAAGTCCCATCACACCGTGATATACCACAGTTATAATACCTATT